TTTTTAAATTGTGATTGAAACAAGTTGAATTGGTTCTTAAAATGTGGTCAAATCAAAATTTTTCTCAAAACAAGTACGAAATGTTATACATGGTTCATAAATCAAATTCAATTTGTTCTTAAAAACTAAGTAATCTCAAAATGTTCTTAAAGTAAGAACGGAAAGGACTAAAAATAGAACAAAAAGTACATTTTTTTAAAGTCTGGCTGCATTGAAGTGCAAGTGTTTTTTCAAGAATTTGGTAAGGACAAATTCGTTCGTCTCCACGTGTGTTCATGTATCCTACATACATATACACATATCTACTATTTTATATATATGTATGTAGCTGTACACGCTTAATCGTGAGACAGAGATTTAAACTGCATACATACATATGGATATGTGTATGTATGTATGTATGAGTGAGTATATATGTATGTATGTAAATATAAACAAAAACACCATTAATTGTCAGAAACTCACACAAAAAATTAATAACTACTTTCACAAACCAACGCACTCTTACTTTATTACTTTAGATTTAAAAAGTCATAAGCATGTATATATAGTCATAAGCATACATATATATATAAATAATCGAATAATCACATCATAAATATTTAAATTCCAATTTAATAAAAACATGAAACTAATAACAATTAAATGTTCTTATTTTTGCCTTTTTTTTGGGGAGGGTATTCAATTAAATTCATTTTTCCTTTTAAAGTTAGTTTAAAATGTTCATCTTTTAATCCCAAATTTAGATAAAATCAATACCAAAATGTACTGAAAAACAGAACTTATTTTTATACCATTTGATCCAAATTTAAATTAAGACCAAAATCAACTTGAAAATGGGACGAAATCAACTCATTTCACTGTTTCACTAGCCGAGTCGATCTAACCATTTCCGTCTGTATGTTCGTCCGTATGAACGCTGTAATCTCGGAAACTACAAAAGCTAGAAAGTTGGTATGCAGATTCTAGAGATTATTATGCAGGGCAAGTTTGTTTCAGCAGGGTGTCACGACCACTCTAACACCCACAATCCCCTATAACGCTAGAACCCGTCTAGCACCCACGTTTCTAAATATTTTTGACTAATGTTATTTATTTAAATTATTTTGTTCTTATTATCAATACCCATCTACATGACAAAAATTATTTTTAAATTGGACCATTAAATTTTTTTTTTCAAAACCACTTAAATTAAGTATTTTTTTGTCATAAAAATGTGATAGAATAGGTTAGATAGGATAGATTAACAAAAGAGGATTGCTCGGGAAGAAATTCAATGAAACTTGTATTGACGCTTACGTTCATTTCCCCAGAATTTTGCTGGCGAGATTTCTGTAACACCCCCAAGTAATTCTCTTTTGTCAATCTACTTTCCTAGTTGTCTAGTTCCTGATATTTGGGACCTCCTAAGAAAAGTCCCATAAAAACTTATGTACCATCGCCTACATGTTCGGTGGCATAGCTAAAAATACTAAAAACCGATGTTCAATTTTGGTTTAAAACGATTTTAAGCGTTTATTTTATTTGATATGTTATAGCATTAAACCCCTGCTTTACTCCTATATGTATGTTGTCAAATTTATTATAAGGCATGGCAAGGGACTTTTACTCAAGAGGATCCAATTATCATGAAATAGTAGAAATGGTTTCCAGAACATTCACAAAGTTCCATTTTGTACACAGGTGTAATCATTACTTATGAGACATAACTTTTAAACCTTTAAAATATCAGTCAGATGTCTGCAACGCACTTAAGGAGACGTTTCCGACCACATAAAGTTGGGGAGTGTAGTAACGAACGATTTGTTTTTTGAATGTAATTTTTCCAATAATAAACAAGAAAGGAAGTTAGCTTCGGCAAGCCGAAGCTTATATACCCTTGCAGCTATAATTATTAAATTTAAAAAAACAAAAAATTATATTCCCAATAGTATAAGATAATATGTCAAAAACAAGGAAGAACGCTATAGTCGAGTACCTCGACTATCAGATACCCGTTACTCAAAGGGAAATGGCGATATGCAAGCAGCAAAGCGAGATTAAAATGCGCCACCTACCGGCGGTAGACAGATTTAAGCGTTATGGGCGTTAGAGTGGGCGAGGCAAATTTGTTTTTGGATCAATCGATAGGTATTGACGACACCAACACATTTCAGTTAAAATTTGTTATCTAGCATGCAAATTGTGGGCGTCACAGGTTTTCGCGGTTTGTGGGCGTTTAAGTGGGCGTGGCAAACTTTTTTTTAGGTCAATCGATAGGTATTGATGAGAAAAATACATTTCAGTTAAAATTTTCTATCTAGCATCAAAACTGTAGGAGTTACAGTTTTGGGTGGTTTGTGGGCGTTAGAGTGGGCGTGGCAGTCTACTGAAACAAACTTGCGCTGCGTAAGAAGCTCAGGAATCTGTACGCCGAATCTCAATAGCCTAGCTCTCATAGTTTCCGAGATCTCAGCGTTCATCCGGACAGACAGACGGACAGACGGACATGGCTAGATCGACTCGGCTAGTGATCCTGATCAAGAATATATATACTTTATGGGGTCGGAAACGCTTCCTTCTGCCTGTTACATACTTTCCGACGAATCTAGTATACCCTTTTACTCTACGAGTAACGGGTATAAACACCGAAGCTATAATTTGTTTCATAATATTTTCCTACCAATTTTCCGATCGTTCCTATGGCAGCTATATGATATAGTCGTCCGATTTTGATAAAATTAATTTCCAAATTCAGAACTAATTAAAAAATGTTATTTCCAAGCGTAGGAGGTTATATGTTAAAAAACACCGAAGCTATAATTTGTTTCATAATATTTTCCTACCAATTTTCCGATCGTTCCTATGGCAGCTATATGATATAGTCATCTGATTTTGACAAAATTAAATTCGAAATTCAAAACTAATTAAAAAATGTTATTTCCAAGCTTAGGAGGTTATATGCTAAAAAACACCAAAGATATAATTTTTTTAAATTTGTTTTTCCTATTATTCCTATGGGAGCTATAAGACATAGTTGTCCGATCCGATTTATATACTACCTGCAAAAGATATAAGACTTTTGGACGGACAGACGGACATGGCTAGATCGACTCGTCTAGTCATGCTGATCAAGAATATATATACTTTATGGGGTTGAAAACGTCACTGCACTGACATTATGCGGGCGTTTTTGTGGTTTTCTTCCATGTTTAAATTTTTGTTTCCACAACACTTTTGCACGAACCCCGCCAAAGATTAAATTTCTTCTTCTTTGGGCCGCGGCTAACGGCGTTCATCGAAATTCACTCGCTAAATCTGTTATTTCCTTAGCTCGTCTAAGTACCGCGCTGAAATTCAGAGCCGACGAAATGCGTTAGCCGCGTATTTACCCCTCGCTCCCTCCTGTGGTTAGCTCAAAGTTTTCGGCGATGTGATCACTAGGCTTTGTGAAAGTGGCACCATCATATTTCCAACAGTACCATGTAGGGTATCGTGACGAAAATTTTGTAGGGTATGACGACTTAGTTTTTGTTTGGTATTCGCTAACATTATATCGTTATTTGTTTTATTTCTGCAGCCGATAACTAAAAAAACAATTCATTCTTGTTAGCTGTTGTGAACTAGAAATTGAACAACTTAATTTGTTCAATTTAAGCCCAGAGCTGAAGAGACATTTTTTAAGTATACAGTTAAATTTGTAATCCATTATTGTACATTTTTAAACTTTCTTGAAGAAAAAATAAATAATTTTCACAACTTCTTAGAGTTTTAGTGTGTATTTATCAGTTCGTCACCATACCCTGCAACTTATAATGTGAAAATAAATTGGTTTTCGCCTAGAGCTGTAGAAATTAACTCCGCTGAAATGTTATCTGCTTTTATTATTTTATTTTTTTTTATACCCTTGTAGAGGGTATAATGATTTCAGTCAGAAGTTTGCAACGCAGTGAAGGAGACGTTTCCGACCCCATAAAGTATATATATTCTTGATCAGCATCACTAGACGAGTCGATCTAGCCATGTTCGTCTGTCCGTCTGTCCGTCCGTTTCTACGCAAACTAGTCTCTCAGTTTTAAAGCTATCGGGCTGAAACTTTCCCAAAAGTCTTATATCTTTTGCAGGTAGTATATAAGTCGGAACCAGCCGGATCGGACAACTATATCTTATAGCTCCCATAGGAATAATCGGAAAAAAAAATGTTAAAAAATTATATCTTTGGTGTTTCTTAACATATTACCTCCTTTCCTTGGAAATAACATTTTTAAATTAGTTTTGAATTTCGAATTAAATTTCATCAAAATCGGAAGACTATATCATATAGCTGCCATAGGAACGATCGGAAAATTGGTGGGAAAATAATATGAAACAAATTATAGCTTCGGTGTTCCTTAACATATAACCTCCTACGCTTGGAAATAACATTTTTTAATTAGTTGTGAATTTCGAATATAATTTTATCAAAATCGGACGACTATATCATATAGCTGCCATAGGAACGATCGTAAAATTGGTAGGAAAATAATATGAAACAAATTATAGCTTCGGTGTTTTTTGACATATTATCTTATACTATTGGGAATATCATTTTTTGTGTTTTTAAATTTAATAATTATAGCTGCAAGGGTATATAAGCTTCGGCTTGCCGAAACTAACTTTCTTTCTTGTTTTTCTTAGCTTCGGCGCTTTTGGCTGCTGCGGCAGAGGTTCGGCGTCGCAGAGCAACATAAATCAGTGCAAATCAGAGAAATGTCACGCTTCAGCGAGCTGCGCGCGAACTTCCCAGTCGTAAGTTGCGGAACGTGTTTTAAAAAAACATAGTTCTGGGTCGTACCTTTTTTACGCAAAACAGCACGCATGCAAATTTTCCAAGGCAAATGTGCGTGCTGGATGCATTCTATTGCGGTGCCTTCTAGAAGTGTTTCAGAATAATGCATCCAGAAGCATGCCCAAACACCCGTCTCGGGAACGTATTCCGAAAGAATTAGTTCTGGGTCGTATCTTTTTTACGCAAAACAGCACGCATGCAAATTTACCCAGCAAAATGTGCGTGCTGGGGGCAGTCTTTTGGGTGCCATCTGGGTGTATTTCAATATAGTGCATCCAGGTGCATTTTAGTGGGAATGTAAAAAAAACCAAACTCAAACCCGAAGGTTGCCGATGCGCATTTTTTTACAATCGTCTTTTTTCGGAACTGTTCTCTTGACAAACAAATAATAAAGACAAAAGGGAACATGCAAGGAAGCGAGCGGTTTTTCTTGTCTTTTGCATTTCTCGTCAGTTGCATTTTTAGTTCTGAAAAGTGAAGTTCGTGCCACGTGTTTTGAAAAAGTTTGTTGCTTTCTGCCACCAATTTTACATCAATATTTTCACAGGTAAGTAAAGTGTAGATAATTTAGTTCAATATGAACACAATAAAATAACACAGTACATGTATTAAACAAATAAAATAATAACTATTTGTATGTAAATTGTACATACAAAATAAACATATTGTATATTGTAATGTATATTTCAAAATATATAATATTCAATTTGCTTTATATTTTTCAGAATCGCAAAAAATGAATGGGCACACCAAGGACTGAACTGCGTAAATGACAAAAGTACATAAACAAGAAGGAAGCACCAAAGCACCGTACAGAAGGGGAGTTACTCCGATTAAAAATTAGTTGCGTTTTTGAATATTGAAATGAAAATAAATATGAAATTGAAATCCAGTTTTATGTATTCCTGGGGAAAACTTCCAGATATTTGGTTTTTGAATGCTTCTAGGTACATTCCTGGGTACATGTTACAGGAGCATTAAAAAAGAATACACCCACAATGTGTTTAGTATGTTGCTTCCAGGTCCATTAAAAAAGAATACACCCAGAAGGAGTTTAGTATGTTGCTTCCAGGTGCATTAAAAAATAATACACCCAGAATGTGTTTAGTATGTTGCTTCCAGGTGCATTAAAAAAGAGTACACCCAGAATGTGTTTAGTTTGTTACTTCCAGGTGCATTCCAGATATATGCTTCCAGAAGCATGCAACGGGTGCATTCTTTTTTGTCCCGCACCCGTGTTAAAAGAATGGACAGACTCATCATTTCCGGAACACCTTTTTGATGCCATTTCATAATGAAAGAACGCATGATGGAATGCTGTCATTTACGACTGGGCAAGGCTACGGAATTTAAATCTGAGATCCTTATTCTCTATATTTGATAGTTTCCGAGATATAAGCGTTCAGATTTACGATTTTTGGAAATTTGTGGGCGGTTTGTGGGCGTTAAAGTGGGCGGGGCACACTTTTTTTGGATCAATCGATTGTATTGACGAGAACAATACTTTTTAGATAAAATGCTTATTCTAGCACTAAAACTGTAGGAGCCACAGCTTTGGGCGGCTTGTGGGCGTTAGAGTGGGCGTGGCACATTGCTGCGCTTCTTGCGCTGCGTAAGAAGCTCAGGAATCTGCATGCCAAATCTCAAAGGCCTAGCTCTTATAGTTTCCGAGTTCTCAGCGTTCATCCGGACGGACGGACAGACGGACATGGCTTGATCTCGGCTACTGATCCGGATCAAGAATATATGTACTTTATGGGGTCGGAAACGCTTCCTTCTGCCTGTTACATACTTTCCGACGAATCTAGTATACCCTTTTAATCTATGAGTAACGGGTATAATTATAGTTTCGGTCCTCTCCGACATATTATCTTCCACTCTAAGGGATATCATAACACATGCTTAAGGATCTTCAGGCTGCGTTGACCAAATACGAGGGTTGCTTTATACATTTCAGGCCTACTATTGAAAAAGCGAATATTTATCATCAAAAGTGGTTTTAATTTTTTTTCAAAGTATTCCAGCCGATTTATACACTTTTGCGCTCAACCCAATGGTCAAAGCACTTTTTCTACTTCGATTGGGACACCTCCAAAACATGGTTTTTGAACGCTTCAACGAAAATCGTTGGACTCAGTTTTCCTTTGATGTGCGGGAATAAAAAGATGTCATTGGGTGCTAAGTTAGGCCTGTACGGCGGATGACCCATGAATTCGACGGTTTGCCCGGTCAAAAAGTCGCTGTTTGAACTGATGTGTTGGAGTTCGCATTGTTATGGTGCACAATGATCCATTTTATCTTGTTCCGTTTTTGAATTTCTCCGAAGACTTCAGACAGAATTGACCGTCAATCGTTGCTCAAGCGGAGCAGTCGCCACAAGACCAGTGTTGCCGAAGAAACAGGCGACCATTTGCTTCAAAGTGATTTTCCACGAACAACTTTCGTTGGATTTGGTTCGTCTTCAAAGAGCCAAACTGTCGATTGCTATTTTGTTTAGGGCTTCTAAACGACTTTAAAAACACTGCGATTGATTTTTTTCACAATTTTTTTGCATCAATCCACACAAGCCTTTTTTTGAGCGATTGTCAAGTTGTTCGGGATCGAACGAGAACAAACCTTTTTTACGGTTAGGTGCTCATGCAATATCGAATGTATGTTAATGCCCAAGGATGTTTATCTCACGGTATGTCAAATGACGATCTTGCATTATCAGTTCAGGCACGGCATCAATGTCCTCTGTAACAACGACTCCTTTTAGGCGACCTTCACGACCTTTGTACGAGCGAGCGTCGGCCACGATTGAATTCATTAAACCAGTTTTTCACAGTGCTATAGGATAGTGACTCATCGATGCACTCTTGTCTTGTCTCGACGTGGAGTACTAAAGTTGTGAAAAATTATTGCACGAAAATATTCACGAGTTAATTCCGTTTTTCTGCCGAGGGAAGATTCTGATTAATCGTTAATCGATATCGAACGTGATCACACATGCAAAGGTTGTATGGAGCCTTTATCAATAAAAGCCCAAACTTATTTTGGGAAAAGGCTAATTAGTCTTAATATGGCTACACACAGAAAAAAAAAAGCGAAGAAAATCAAGAACATTTTTCATGATTTGACAACTATCCGTTCGCTATGTACCATTCATAAAAAACGAACGCCGCGTGGTCAAATCATAAACATTTAGGTAAATTTATGAACGCGTCAGTGAAAAATGCTTCGACAGAAATGTGGAAAACACCGTTCTTAAATTATCAACACCATTCATAAAAACATGTATGTAGGTCAAGGTACAAGTACCGCTGCTAGAGCGTCCGCTTCTGACACATGGTATCACAGGTTCGAGTCCGCGAGAAGATGGTTGTGAATTGTAAGTTTTATTCAAATATTATTTGTAATGTTTCTATGTACGTTTAATAATAAAAAGCGTCTTTGTAATCAATAAAAAATCCAAAATATATTAAATTCTAACGATACCAAAACAAATGTAAAGAAATTAAATAAATCTCTAACAGGCGTCCAGAAAAACTAGCATATATCTCAAACCCAAAACCCTAATGTTTCAGTAAAATTTTATAAACGAGCGTTCATGAATTGTCACCAAACGGGCTCTTACGCACTGTTTGACCCCGTTTATGTTTGATTTTTTTCTGGGTGTAGAGGTGACATAGACCAGAGACTTAAATAGCAGCCCTCGTAACTAACCGGCAATAAGAAAAATAGATTCTTTAATAACAACCAATTCTTTGGAACAATATTACCGATTGAATAGTTAGAACCTGAAATATACTATTTTATTCTCGGGGTACCAAAAGAGGAATTTTTAAACTTTAAACGCGGTTATCTCGCAACAGTGCTTTTCAATAAATGGCTTTGAAAAGAATATTTTGATATTTTAGACCCAAAAAAAAATTTTTTCTACCCTTGAAAAAACACTATTTTCAAACCGCTGCCTTTTCCGCTGTAATACCAATATCCAAAATTCATTCGTTTGGCGACAAGATAATTAAATAAACTAACTAACTTTTTAAAATTTTTTTTTTCAGAATGGGTTGTCTAGGAATCGTGTCCAACGCAAGGCTCTTGAAATCGATCTGCGTCCGGCAGTTCGCCTTTAACTGCGATGTTATTATTTTCTTTTAACTTTTTAAATTTAGAGAAAAGATTTATATTTGTTTCTATATAAAAATCGTAGAAATCTAGCTTTTTGTAGTGGTTCAAGTGTATATAACCCATTAAAAGCACGTAGCCACTACCAAATATTATTTCTTAATATTCCCATATTGCTCCTTCTGAAGTTGACATTTATTATCAAGGGGCTTGAAATCAGGAATTACACTTACCTTTGGCGCACTTTTGGAATGTTTTGTCGAAATACATGACCGCCAGGTAGACGGCGTAAAGGGAAACGAGGATGAGTGCCTCGTACCACTCGACGCGCTCGTCGTGCATAACACAGATGAGAATGGCCACCGTGACTCCGTAGGCAATGCTGTCCCGTGTCAGTGGCCACCAGTCCAGGGGTATGGTCTGGATGTGTGGAGACGATTAGAGGATTATGCGATTAGGCGTCTTGGGCACCGAAAGAGGACTACACATACCATTCCAGCTCCGATGCCGCAACAGGCGGCCACCGCCAAGATGTTGAATACCGCCGATCCGACGATCGTGCCCACTCCGATATCGCCCTCCGTGATGAAGGTGCCTATCACGTTAACAAACAGCTCTGGGGCGGAGGTGGCCGCAGCCATGAACGTGGCCCCCGCCACATCATTGGACATGTTGAGTGCTAGTTAATTGGTTAAAATATGTACTTATGTACTAAATATTCATAGGAGTTCAATTCAAGGAACCCGGTGGACCCACCTGCACATATTTTCTCAACTGCTGGCACAAAGTACTCATCACACACTACGGCTAAGGCTACAAATAAATATAAACTGGCTATAACATGAAGTACAACAGCACCGGACTGCCTTTGCGCCTCCGAGAACAGGTCTCTGGGGAAATCATCGATGGCGGGCTGAGTGCAATTGATATCTGCGAAATATTACAAGATAAAATGTATGTTACTGATTGTCAACTTGAAGGCAATTTTTTTGCATAATTTTATAACTTAACCATTTATCACTTAATTTTATAGTATACTTAAAATTTGTGCAAAGTCCTAATTAAGTTTTCTAATTAATTTCATACCAGTCTAATCCTATTACGATGTAGAGCTCAATAATATATATTGGTAATTCGCTAATTTTAAAGTCACTACGCTTCGCAAATGGGTAATAAAAAGGTACACATTTACATCTTTTTTCTTATTATACATATATACAGTTCACAAAGTAAAAGATTTGACCTCTTAGGTATCTTTTTATGAATTTTAACTTTAAAAAAATTTGTCCCAGGATCAATAATTCAGGTTTAAGATTCTTAAACTTTTATTCACTAAATAAGTTTCCGTTTGATTTTCTTTTCTCATCACTTTAATATAGGTCGTCCTTACAAGCACAAATATTTTTTTTTTGCTTTTTACTAACACTCTTACCGCCGAATATTTTATTTAGTTTATTTTATGTCAGAAGTTACATATTTTACGAACGAAAAATCTGTACAGTTTCTGCTATAACACAGTTCCATGAAAAACTTGTTCCAAAACTGTCGTTTTGAATGTAAATAGAACGATGTTTTAAGATAATAGTTTTTAAGTAGATAAAACCTCCTATATTATTGAAAAAAAATTTTTTTCCGAAACTGCAAATAAACACAATGACAAAAGTTAACAAAACTTTGAGAGTTAGAGCCTTAACGTATTTTGCAACAGAGTTTCAAATGATAATAATAGTTCTGAGTTTTATTTATTTATTGTACACTGTTGCCAAAAGTTTAAAACTTAAGGTACAGGGAGGAATCGGCCATAGTTGCTAAGACTTTCGGCCGGTCTGAGTTCTATTTTATTACTGATTATAGATAACTGATAAATGATTTATAAAAATACGTTTTGGAGCTTCTTTATAAGATTTGTATATATAATCCATATTTTTAAACCGTATGTATAGTTAAACTTTGAAAATGTATAAATTTCACTTGTTTTGCGCACATTTCATGCTGCTAACGCCACAATGTTTAACCCCACAAAAAATGAATTTCAATCAATGGGGGAACAAGAGTCTCCGAGTCACCGAATTTTCCCGAGAGCCTCGTCTTTCTTTTTCTGTCTATCACAAGTCGGAGTCTCAAGCGTCGGTAATGAACTAAACCAGCAGAGCTGCAAGAAAGACCACAAGACTGGCGATTTGAACCCAGAACCTGACACCCAGTACCCCGTACCCCTCACCCCAGGAATCGAATCAAAACATGAACCGTAATGGAAACTGCACGAGATACAGGCACAATTACACGAGATACCACTACAGATGCAACCAGAGCAGCAGGCGACAGATACAAATACATCTGTTGGGACGTAACATATACCGAATTAGAACCGAAACAGAAGCCGAAGCCTCACTGTCTTATTATCTATGATACGACGTGCTTGATCATCGATCAAGTATGCGACGATCGGCAGCGGAAACGATAAATACGCCTTTGATGTCATCAAATTTAATTGCAAAACAACAAAGCTGAAGCCGCACGCTGAAACCTCATCCGAAGCTCGAACTGAAATTGAAACCGAAAATTATGTCAAGTGCTAAAAACAGATCCTCAAGCGGAAAACTAAAAGCACATCAACACAGGAAAAAATCGGAGATTAAACTCCAAGTCAATAGTAGCTTTTAGTTTCTACTTTTATATTGCCCATTTTAACTTAGATGTCAAAATGCACATGAACACAGAGATATATGATGTACAATTTTATCAATGGATTTTAAATTGTATCAAAATAGGACGACTACATCATTTAGTTGTCATATAAACGATTGAACAATTTATAGGTAATCTACCGAAAGTGAAGATTTACTCAATTTTTACGGATTTGGGTAGCTAATTAAAATGGTACTGCCATACTACTAAATATCAACAAATGTTTTTAGTTTGTGTACTTTTTTAGAGGGTATATTAACGTTTGTCATTATTATTGATATTAAGGAAATAACTTTTATAAATGTATCGATGGGGTGCCAATGTACCTTTTATAAAATACCAAACATTTTTTAAATTTCGATTTAAAAATGAAATGCTTAAAAATTGTTTTAAATTTATAAAAGTTCACGGAAAGTGTTAGGAACATTATTTTGATTTTGAGCTTTAAGTTTAGATCATCGTTTGGTTTCGCACTTTACAAGTGAGTTTTTTTGTGTGCAGAGCACCTGAGTTGGGACCCCGTGCCAAAAACAATATGGGATGGACCGACTTAAAGTCACAAATTGAAACAATAAAAGCTGACCAAACCCAACGGGAAAAGGCATTTACAAAAACACTCATAATATCAATCGATTGAGCGGCATAAGTTGATAGAGACATAGACATCGTCATAGACATGCCGAGCAAGATACGGACATGGATACATACAAATACATATATAAAGAAGCACAGTGCAGGAAAAAAAACTTTTGTAAGCAGTTTCTATAACAAAAACATTTTTATGCAATTCCTACAACAATAGTGTAAATCGAACCTATGTATGTAGCTATAAACCTAATAAGTTCTCTCAGAATCCACATCGAAATTAAGGAGCAAATGTATATGTAAGTAAGTAACAGTGTAATAAGTTGGCCCAAGCCTGTAATCAGTCAAGCATATGAAAAGCTTTTGTACGTCTGAACTAATCAAACAAATTGTGTTTTCTCGTATTGTTCAATAAAAATCATCGGATTGTAGGTTTTTTTGCTCGTCGATTAACACATGGGTTAAGCGATTGACATTAAAAGTCAAAAAAATTTTTAATGAAAGTTGTCTGTCCGTATGAACGCTAAGATCTCGGAAACTATTAAAGTTAGAAAGTTTGGATTAGGAATGTAGACTTTAAGGATTCCTCCACTGCTCTTGATTTCACCTTGAAAATAAATATTGATACGCTCTTTTTAAGGAAATGAGCAACCTCCAGCTTATGTCCTTCTTGACAAAACCTGGCATTTGTTGCACCAAAACGTACGTTATTTATCTTAAGAAAAAGCCATTTAAAGGAGCATCCACCTCCCAAAATTGTTGTTCAAAAAATAAATATAGGTAAAGAACCGTATGCGAGGAAGATGTTATAAATACTTAAAAGGTTTAAACGGTTCTAACTTGTGAAAATTCTCGTGGCGTCACTGCACTTTGCGAAATTTTACCAGCTTTTGTAGCATTAATTAAGAACTTAAAAACGAAGGAACATTTAATACTTTTTTATTTAAAGGAATTAAAAAGAATAGTCGTGGCCCCGCCTTTTTTTAAATTTTGTTTTGTCCTTAATAAAATAACAAAACTAAATTTTCAAAAATTTTGTTATTTAATGAAATTGCAAATTTTGTTATTATAACCATTATAGTTCTTGATACAAAACTAAACAAAAACTTTATATCAACGTTAAATACGTGAAAGGATATTGTAACATAATTTTTAAATATTTAATAACCAAAATGCATACTTTTTTTGTAAGATTGCATCGAAACTGAAACTTACAAGAAAAAAATACGGGAATTATGCATTATAACGTAGATTTCTTAAAAATTAAGTTTCAGAAAAAGTCCGCATAACTGCACTTTTATACTAAGTGAGTTTAATGAAAATTAAAAACTTTAACTTTGAAAATTAAAATTCAATTAATGTTTTTAGTTTTTTTGAACTTAGAAATTACATACGACTATTCGAGATCAATACAAACAATATCAAGGTCACAAACACAAGTTAAAATCCCGTCTGATTGGACTTTATCTCAAAAACTGAACTGCTTTGTTTAATTTTACACTTTATGGCAATTTTAACTTTAAAGAAAAATAGGCGATTTAACAGCGCTAGTTATTAAAAAATATCTAACCACTTTTAAAAACTACTTTTGGCCAAAAAGGCCTAAAATTCCCCACTGTGTACTGTTAGCCCACAATAGTCCCTATTCAATTTTCTTTCCTGAATGGAAATCTCATCTTTGATCAATTTGCTAATAGCAATGAAATAATAATTTGGCGCTGCAAACATTTCACATGCTAGCATTCAAATTTTATTTAGTTTTGCGTTGTTTTCCATTTTTTTTGGAGCAACTGAATTTGCACGTCCTCTCCCGTTCTCTATGTGACCAAAAATCAGACGAATACCTGTCAATAAAACTAATTTTAGTTTAAGCTAAAAAATCATCAATAATTGGGACGCTAGACATTGCGCTGCTCAGGAAGCCCAAAAATCGGTATGTTTAATTCTAACATTGTAGCACTTACATTTTTCGAGATCTCAGCGTTTATACGGAAAGACGGTCATGGCTAGTTCGACTCGGCTAGTGATCCTGATCAAGAATATATATACTTTATAAGGTCGGAAACGCTTCCTTCTTCCGACGAATCTAATATAAACGGGTATAAAGACAAATGGTGGCTTTTGTATTCGAACTTGCGTCGTTTCGGTTTCTAACCAAACGCTTTAGCTGTCTGCGCTAAGGATACAGCAGCTCGGCCGCTGACAAGTTCTAAAAATGAATATTTCGGTACGCAGAGCATGCGAAAACAAATATATATATTTCTTAGAGGAAAACATTCTTATTTTGTTGGGGTAAGTTTTATTTTAGGCTTAGGGTATTAATTGGTTTTCGTTAGCCTATTTGTATACCCATGCAGAGGGTATATTGATTTCAGTCAGAAGTTTGCAACACAGTGAAGGAATTAATTCTCTTTATATTTTATTATTTCGAATAAAATTAAAATCAAATCGGACGACTTCATCATATAGCTGCCATAGGAACGATCGTAATTAATGTCAAAATAATACATAGACCGTTATATTTCGTTTTCGGTAAACATACAAGGAAATTTCTTATTGAAAAAAAGAATCTTAATGTCGACTTTCTAATATAGAGGACTAATTTTATTTTGAGTGTATAAATATAGCTATAAAAAGGAACGAAAACGCATATGCAG